TAAAAGTTCTCGGTCGCTACAACGTTCCTGCTTGTGGCCATACCCATCTCTTCAGCAATAAGATGTTATACATACTAGAACTAGATCTAACAACGAAGAGAAGGGAATGAAAAGAATGATTCTTCTAGACGACCCCAAATTTATTGAGAATAAGCTTTAGTTCGTTGTTATATTTTCACGGTTTGTCTCTTATGTCATCTATGTGAATTATTTGTAGCCATAGCCATCTCTTCAATATCCCGCCATTCCTTCTTATTGCTCGTTTTGTGCTTCAGTTATACTAGAAGTTATTTAGTTTTTAAGAATATGACTATATGAGCAATGACTACTCCACTTTTTTCTAAAGTTGTCTCTTTTGTCATACATGTGGATTACTTGTGGCCATACCCCCATCTCTTCAGCATCCCATCATTCCTTGTTCATTTTATGCTTCAGTTATACTATATGTTAATTACTTCTTAAAAATATGAGCAATGACTACTTTACTTTTTTTTCTTAATCATTTTGGGCTCGAGACTTGCATTTATATGGTCTTTTCTAACTACTGTTCATGTCAAAAAAATCAAAATCTTACGAAAATTGTAGAGTCGAGTACTATGAATAACATATATTAGACTTGCATGCACTTGGGCAATATCTTGAAGAACCGCGTTTGCACATTTCAATCTAAAGCATGGTTGGCTAATTATCAAATAATTATTTTCCAATATGTTTGAACATGTTAATTTCTGTTGAAAAATTTAATTTCTGTTGAAAAATGTCACTTATTCTAGAAGTAAATCTCCCCATAACTTAGTTTTAAATTAATGTGAGGCACCATATTCCGTATTGGCAAACCAATCTGATATTTTATTTCCTTCTACAACAATCATATATTTATTCATAAACGTTTTTAAGCTTAGCCAGACATGACCCAGACATTCAAGTCGAGTCAATCTAAGCATAATTCCCCAATTATACAAAGGTCAAGGACTCTTCCCAATTAAAAAGTATCACAAGGAATCAAAATACTTAAGACACATCATTTCAGCAACATAACATACACCGCCTTGAAAAGCTACAGGCAAATATTTCTGTAACAAAGTGAATTTCATTTCTGGTATTCACTGCTCTGGAGTTTTAAGATTGTTTTAAAACAAGTGATTGTAGATGTAATCTTGCATTGGCAGCAGCAGCAATAGACTCTTCGTCTTGCTTTTCCTTTACAGCAGCAACAGCAATAATATAAGCTTCTCTTGCTGCCTCCAGTTTCTTCCTTTCGATTTCATTTAAGTTGTCCTGCACAAGCAAGTTCAATTCACGAGATAAAATAAGTAAGAATCAGATAAATTCAAGTGAAGAGATTGAGCTGACAACCTACAAAGAGCATTAAAGAATTAAAGTCACGCTACGTCTGCATCTTCTCTTAGTTCAAAGCAAGAAAACCAATTTAATAACTCAAGGTTTTGATATGAGCAACAAATCCCAGCTTTTATTTACTTGGCTATGAATCACATCTCAAGTACCAAGTAAATTATGAACAGCAAGCACAATTATATAGAAATATCCCATATGAACAGGAATCCAATAATCCTAGTAATTGGGTGAAAATAAAAACATGCTAACATTGTTGGCTGATCTGGTAAAGTCAACACCATAGCAACAACATGATTGAACACCCCCATTCATCCCCCAAATCCATTATCAAACTAAATGCAGATGTCCTTGCATCATGTTTCTAGGTAAAGCCATACTTAAACCAGCCTCTTTTGCAAGTTTCGTAATGTGAAGTTACACATTTCACCATCTTCCTTTTTTCTTTTCTTTCTGTTCAATAAAACTCAAATATGTAGAAACTAATTGAAAAATAGAAAAAATATTATGAAAGTGGATTTATCTAGGAAAGCTAAGGCCGAGTGGGTTGGCTATTAGGTGTGTATCTCATTCTCAATTCTAGTGAGTGATGACAACTTTTTGTCAACGAACACGAGGTGGCAGCTCAGCAGCTAATTTAATAAAAGCTTTAAAGGTTTTATTGATCATTTGAACTACATGGGATTTATCAGCTCTTTTTCACATAGACGAAGCAAAGTGCATTATGCTCTAAAACAAAACATACCACCTGTTTGGGCTCCATTAAAAATGTATTTTGGAATAGTAATTTTTTGGAGAATGTGTGATTAAAAAATAAGAAGTTTTAAGTTTACGTACAATATTATTTTATTGGAGAGTGTGCGATTGAAAAGACGAGAGACAAAAATGCATTTTTTTTAGAATGAAGCCCAAACAGGGGAATGGTCTCCCAAACTATAAGCATGTATCAGTATCTTATAAGAACAGTGGGGTCTAGTTGAACTATTTGTCAGGCTATTGTTTCCTCAAGGTTATAACGTAAGACCTTAACTGCATATAATAGTACTCCATGCAAAACCCCTCAGCACCCCCTTCCTTGCTGGGGGTAAAAAGACTACTTTAGAGAGTGAGGCAAGAGTGAGGAAGATATGTAATGCACTGTATGCACAATCAATATACTACTTCAAGCATCCAAGTTTTTTTATTGTGCATTTTTTTAATGCATAAATTGCAATGGGTTGGCTTTGAGCGGGAATATTTGTCTATTCTCTTTGTTTTTCTACTTTAGGGGAGGGAGGGATTGTTGCTACGACAGATAACTTACTAAACCATGATCATGGTCCAGAGGGTGAGGAACGTCATCATAGTCTTCAACCGAAAGGGCAGAATGAGTCCTGGCCAAGCCCTGAATCAATACCATCATGGATGAAACCTGTCCTTCCACCATTTCTAGATCTTCCTGGAGCTTCTCCACTTTTTTGTTGGAAGTCATTGATTCCCATTGTAATTTTTCCACAGCTGCTTGTTTGTCAGCAAGCTCAATCTATGGAATATATACACAAGGTGAAATAGTCCCACTAAAAAAGATTGAAACATCTCACACCAATGAATCCACAAGCAGATAGAAATTATTTAGCTAAGCTCAAAAAATATAAGTTACTTTCTGATAACTTTTTGTTTTCAAACATGTTTGAACATGCTCTAACTGCCTCACAAAAAACTTCCACTAAAAGAGCAATTAGATTTAAGTCACAGAACATGATAAGCAGTGACTTTATTTCCAATCTCAAGACAAAGTCGAAAATAATCACTCTTAAATCACAGATATCAGAAGAGTTAATCCCAAAAGGCAAAACAGTGCTGGTTAAGGTCACCTTGTAAACATAAACCAACAAGGAGTGTTCGATATATCGTACGAAATTGAATAGATATGGTGTATAATAAACTCAGAATGTTCTTGGATATACCATTGCCACCTAAAAAGTTTAGATTTCTTAATTGTCATTCATAAAGTTAACTCAAAAGTTTCATGAGTTATCACTAAAAAGTAAACAGCTATAATTGAGCCATAAGAAAAATCAGGTACATACTATGTGTGTGTATCTACTGAATATATAACTTTATGCTTTAATCAGTTAATTTAGTTGGTGGGTCAATTTATGTGGCTTTTAATAATTTAGTCAAGGGCATTTTGAGAATTCTAAAATTGGAGTTAAGAGTCTTATTTCAAGTCTTTTCACATCTAGGAGTCAGATTAGGAATTATAAGTCGAATCTTAGTAGGATTATCTTATGTTTCTTTATCAGAGTCTTCCAGTTAAGTAGATTTTCTCCTAGCCTTTAAATAGATATGTAACCTTCATAATCCAAACAATATAAGATGATTTTGTTATCGTCAGAGTTCTGAGCCTTCATTGTGACTAGGAGCATGTTTGAGAAATAAGTTTTTGGATCTTATAAGCTCCTTCCAGACATGCTATGGGTGATGCAATCCATCCTTGGGCAGGATGCCTACAAAATTCTATACTTGATTCCTAAATTTTTTTTGTTTTACCTGAGCTCTTATTCTTTAACTTTTGGCAATCTTTTAGAGTCCCCGCAACAGTAATCTACTTCATATTGTGTCAAAAGAAATATTGAAGTCAACTTTATTGCCTCCAGAAAGTTAGTATGACAACAAGTCATCCCCATTTACATCTGAGGTTGCTGTGCATGAAGCACTGTTAATACCCATGACAGCTTGCTAAAAAACTTTGAAGCCTTATCCTTCTTCCTTAAATTTCACTCCAAGTGTTGCATATAAATATTCCAATATAAACACTTCAACATCAAAAAAAATCACCAATTATATTGATGAGATCCTAACTTGTAGCATCAATCACCCAAAGATGAAGCACCAAAACTTCTGAGAGAAAATGAGGTGGTTCTTATAGCAAGGACAAAGCCTACAAGACAATCAAAATTAGTGGAGTGGGCTCAATAGCATTAAATGCCTACCTTTGCATCAGAGAGCTGTAGTTGAGTAGACTTGATTAACGATTCCTTTTCTGTAATCTCATTTTTAAGTTCATCAAGTCGTGTATACATGGAAGCCATCTCACTCTTTGAGAGTTCCGCTGACTTCAGAAGTTCATCTTTTTGTGATATTCTCTTCTGCAGATCCCCCACTTGTTCTGACAGTGCTATCAATTCCTCTCTTTCCTTTTCTAATTGAAATGACCTCGAGGAAAATAATGATACATTATCAGCATGTCCATCTTGGCTATCGACAACATGTTTATTTTCGTCCTTATCTTCTAGGTCTCTATGCTTTCTTGTTGGAATTGATTGAGCAGCATTCCTTCTTGCTGTCTGCAGCAAACACCAACATCCATTGTGAGGTCTTGAATTGAAAATGCAACTTCTTCTACACAAAATGTGGAAGCAAATAACATCATACAATAAAATACAACTTTGTCAATTGAATAATTTGGTATGCTACAATGTTCAGATACAGATAGCAATTCATGAGGTTTGAGAGTGACTGACTACAAATTTTGATCTTCAAAGGCTTAGTTCTTTGTGAGAAAGTTAAGTTACCAAACCAGAAGTTTTTATTCTAGTTCACAGAATTCCAACCTCCAAAGCCTTAGATATTACAATTCCTCATTCCCATGCTTACAAACAGAACAACCTTTTTGATGTTTTTAATTATTTTATACAGAAAAGATGAACCATGTACAAACATCAGTTAAATAACAACTTATACTTTAAAATCAGTAATATACTACCCAGGCTTAAAATCAGTCTCAAACAGGAGCAAATAATTAAAGGAATTAAAGCCCAGAAAAGGGGGCAGGAGGCATGCAAAGCATTGCACTGTTCAAAAGAATGGGCTTAGGATGTGCCCCCCTAGTTAATCACATGTATGTTAAATTCCTGCAACATTCTTCTTTAAAGGGTGTGTACCAGAATTGTACAGTAACTCGCATAAGAGCAAACAAAACTATAAAAAATGTGATTAGACATGATTGTAAAATAGAATAATGATTGATAAATTCTATTTATAATGCCAGTCTATCTTCTCATTTCTTGATTTCTACCATACAACTTCAGTTCTTTTCAAATACTCAAAACATTTTCCTTCATTAACTTTGATGGTTGATGAACCAAGACATAGTGCAAGAGTTGAAGGTCAATCAAAACTCGCTCTATTGAAGGCATCCACGTTCTCTTCGTAGTGTCTAGAAGAGATTTAAGGACCTCCAAACCCAAGCTTTATGGATTAATTTGCATTTAAAGAACAGAAAATAGACAACAAGAATTTTAAATACTTGAAATGTTAAATTAACAAAATTTATTACACAAAATTCTCCTTATTTGCTTCTCTACATTTAGTTACTAAAAATGGAACTGCACAATTTCTTTATTCAATCTTAAGTAAATTTGTTCCCTCAACAATTAAGAACTGTTCTTGTTTAAATCTCTATATAAGATAACAAATTAAATTTAGAGTTAATAAATTACATTTTTATGATGCAGAAAAATCCCGTCAATTAATTCTCACATTTAAGCACCATAAAATTAATGCAATTTATTTCCCTTTTAACGAAAAAAAATACATCATATCCATATATTTACACAGTGATAAAGATTAACTATCAAAATCCCCGCAAGGAAAAAAAAAATTACCTTGTTGTATATGGATTCCTTAGTAGGCGTCTTGGTATAAATCATAGAACCCCGTCTAGTAAAAGAAGAATTCGCTTTCCGATCCTAAAAAATTCCCATACATAAATTCAACCTCTATAATCAAAAAATGCCTCCTTGAGAAAATGAACAAAAACATTTAAATAAAGCAAAAATGTACAAATTACAATGAGTGACTGAACGAGAGGGACGATTTCAACGAGGTTGTTGAAGAGGACGCGGTCGACGTTGCTGGCGGCGGAGGCGTTGGCGGCAGCAGCGGAGAGAGAAGACAAAGTGCTGGCGAGAGTTGAATGGCCTTCACCACCACCGCCGGAGTTGCCTTCGGAGAGCCATGACTTGGGATCCGACCCGAATCCATTGTTGTCCTGTAAATCCAGTAAATGCTGGGGTTCATACATTTTTTTCAAAATTGAATTGATTTCTTGTGAAATTGGAAAGCAGTTTTGGACTGGGACTGAACAAGACTTGATTTTGAATCTTTTCTTTTTCAGTTACACTTTCCCTTTTTTTGAAAATAAAAGAATAGTTGGATTCGGGTCAGCTAACCCAGCCCAATTCTAACACCGGTCAATCCACTTTGCACCTCGAGTCTTGTAGAAGAAAGTTTTCACTAACTTTGTTTCATTACATTAAAAAAAAAATTCCATTGACATCAAATTAAAGGAATGGATGGGATTACCATGTTATCGACCTTTGCCTTGGTAAAGATAGAAATAGCATAACTATAGAGACTGAAATTTCTTCCATTGATTGCATGCGATAGTTTATCGATACTTATTATCGCATTGAAATTCTTCAAACAAAAATTCAAAAATTGGGATAGTAGAGAAATGAACTTTACATACTGATACGACATACCAAAGGGAATGCCTTGCTGCTCTACGTGAGATTCAATTCTCTCTTTGCTCATAATGTGACGTGTCTTATTGTATTTGATAAGTGTAGTTTGTATACTTATTTGAGGCGCTAAATCATGATATTTTATTGTCTTTTGAATTAAATTCTACCTAATTTATGTTAAATTGTATTTTTTTAAAGTAAAAATTTATGTTTAATGAAAAATTGAAGAAAAGAATACAAAATATCGAAAAATGACAAAATTCATAGTACGAGAACTAAATTGGCATGGGACGCACAAATAAATACAATTTAAGGATTAACTTGCACTATATGAAAGTTTTTTTGGCTTAGAAAGAAGAATGAATTTAATTTGGTATTGAGATTTATTGGGCCTAAATTTGGGCTTCTAAAAATTGGACTACACATTGGCAGCCATATTATATTGTATATAGGGAAGAATACATAAAGAGGAAATTACACATACACCTGCTTTTAGATTTTTATTTTCACAAATCATGTCACACATTTAAATTTTCAAAAATCAGGTTTTTTA